AAAAGAGGAAGAGGGTTTAAATTTCATCACAAAGTTAAGAAGATCAACAGTCTAGAGAGAAGTGTAAACGCTACTATAATGCAAACTTCATTTTGATATTCTAAACACTTTGCATGATATTTTTTTTTTTCATACATTAGGTCTTTCAGCACTCATCACAGTTTATGTGTTCATGCTGAACCTAATCAAGGCTCGATACAGTAAGTCTTTCATCACAACTAGCCAATCACAGATCTTCTGTCACCACACTTGACCAATCAGCTTTCAAGGCCTTAAGCGTTCATGGGCTGTGAACTGAACCGCTGAATTACTCAACCACCCTGTTCTGTCTGGATGATAAATAGAAGCCCTATGTTGGAAATGTCCCTTCATGGTTGCATAATTTCTGCTGTACTTCCTTGTACAACACAACAAGGCCATTTTATTAATTCAGAGGAATTTGAGACTTTCTTCCTTTATTGGTTCAGCAGTTAACAGGCTGTGCTGTAAAACAAGTTGTGTAACCAAAGAAATGTGTATGTACAAGAAATAATATGAAATAGGAAACAAGTCATCATCATTAGTATGATTTTGGACAAATTGGACCACTTTTTGACAGTCATTTCAATGACTTTACTCTTCAAAAACGTTTCCAAAGGGGGGTTTTGCAATGATGCCATAGAAGAAACATTTTTGGTTCCCTAAAGAACCGTTATGTGAATAGTTCTTAAAATAACCTTTTTTTCTTAGTATGAAGAACATTTTAATAATCTAAAGAACCCTTTTCCACTATAAAGAATCTTTTCTGTACGATGTTTCCATGGATGTTAAAGGTTCTTCATGGCGTGTACGTCTACATGCATGGTCTATATTCTGGTTGGTGTCATATTCTGAATTTGATAGTTATGTGAACAGGCATCAGAATATTCCTGTACATTTAAAAAAAAAAAAACTTTTTTTTATGCCAATTAGTATGCCAATCCACACGTGCGGTTTCTTTTCTCAAAGAGTCAAGACGCTGCCATTGGTCAGTTTTTATTAGAATGTTTTCACAATAATTTAATTAGGACTTCTTACCTCCAACAACCCCAAAAACACCACCATGAAATGCAAAGCATGGCACAAACATTAATAAACACATGCAGTAATGTGTAACTAGAGCAACAGAAGAAAAGCGAGGGGATGAAAGTTTGCAGCAAGGACTGGTGGGAGAGAGCCGTGATGTCAGAGTTTACAAAATGGCAACAGAATTTTAGAATGTGGAAACACTCATTCCACAAACTATATGCAATCATGGAAAGTGTGATGAAATCCGGTGAGGAAACTGTATGCTGTAGCGTCTGGACCAATCAGACACACCATTTTTCATTTGATTTAACAAATCAATTATTCATTAGATTAACAAACGTTCACAGACCCCTCACCCAATAAACATACTGGGTGCCAAGTTGTCTGTGAACAGGGCCCAGGACCCTGGTTACCATATTATTCATATTTCCCCATGAGCTGATTCGCTACAATGCGCACCTGTGCCAGTTGTAATGTGCATTTCATTGTGCTTTACAAACTGGGAAGTTGTGGGGAGTGTGTGCACATATATCTATTTTCGGTAAATTTTCTGGGTAACACTGTAGATTAGGGAACACTAATAACTAAGAGTTTTCCCACAGCAAACTTCTAATTTGCTGCTTATTGATAGTAAGTAAGGTAGCTGTTGTAGTTGTTAAGTTTAGGTATGGGGTAGGGTTAAGGAATCTAGAATATGGTCATGCAGAATAAGCCATTAATATGTGCCTTATAAACACTAATAAACAGCCATTGTGTTAGTAATATGCATGCTAATATGCAACTAGTTAATAGTGGATATTTTTCCCTAATCTAAAGTGTTTCCATTTTCTGAATAAGGGGTTTACATGCAACAAATGTATGATATTCAAGGGGTGGGAATCAGAATTTGGGAAATCTGAATATTGTCTTAAACTGAATCAGGCAATTGGATTGTGGCGTTTACATGATTCAGTACTAAACAGAGCACTTCCAATTTTCAATTAATTTCAGAATACTGATGTGCATGAAAAATGTAGTCACTCTAATAAAACAAAGTCACCCAAATACATGAATTCACACAACTTTGTAGCTCATCAGTAGATCCAAAGTATACAAAATGAGTGACAATCAATGGTTGCAGATGAGACTGTATCAATTCCTCATTAGTAGAGACAGAGATTTTAAAATACCACACAAACAAACACGGAGACTCACCGAAGCCCCCGTGATGATGAAGGTATGAACGTCAGACTGGTGAAATTCCGTATCATCATGTAGTTCTTTCCTCAGCTGCCCAAACACTTCAGAGCGTGAGAGGGGAAGGCTCATCTTGTCTGCCAAGAGGTCAGAAAAAGATTAAAACGCAGATCTCATGTTGTCCTTACATTCATACGTCAGATCAAAAGTATGTTTATGGAGTTATATTACAGCTGTATCATTTCCATAGACATCAGGATGGACGAGAATGCTGATACAACACATAACTTAATGACAACAAAAACAGCAAAACAACACTTTTATGTGTATGTTAATCAGTCATCGCCAACCTCAAAATGCCTAAATAAAGAAACTGATCTATCTCTACTGAAAAATGTGACACGTAAATTCACATACAAAATGTGTTCTCCAAAGAGCACTTCAGCTAAAGCTGCCCAACACACACACAGTACAATGTCAAAGGCATTAGTATGAATATTAAACAAGTGACACAATATCAACAAATAACACAACAGAACCACAGAGCAAGCTTGTTAACTAAATGGCCTGATTATGAAGACATACACTTGGAAAGAAAGTAGTCTAGATAAATTATATATGGATTTGATGAAGTTATTTCACATGCAATAATTCCTTGCCAATGCCGAGTCGCTTCTACTTTTTAGGGAACATATAAACAACACCAACTACAGCTGTTCTAACAATTAACTAACTTGAAATTTGGCAAGTCATGTCACATAACTACTTGAATTGGCATGACAAACAAACAAAAAAGTCCTACCACTGAGTTCAGGGACTGTAGTGTGTGCTCTCTCTGTGGCATACAGGAAAGGTACACATATAAACCTCGTGTGACACAAAAACACAACCTCCCTCAAAGCCACACTCTGAACTTACCATGTTATTAGCACAATCCCTTATTTAACAGGGCTCAGCCTGGCACTGACTGGACTTACAGCTTGCTAATAATTTTATGCAATGCATCGCATTCACAACAAATGCCTTACACATAGATATCTGGAATAAATTTAACATCAAACGGTACATGATAAAGCTGGTAAAGTAAAAGCTGAACTTAGTGGACAGCTGAATATACACTGCAGAATCAAACGCACTCACTGCATGACAACATGCTACTTACTTATAGTGCTCTTTACTGAACAAAACAAAAATAGCAGGACTAAATAGCAAGCTAAACTTAAAGAGCTGTAACAGACTCAACGCAAAAATATGACAATAGCCACGACAGTGTCATTCTTTAAGACAGTTTCCTCCTTCCCTGTTGAAATGACACGGCGGGTTTGTGCGATGTTATTGGTGGAGAGAGGAACTCACCAGCGCTCGCTCGACTGCCCATCATTGCTGCAGAATCAGACGTCACCGCGCAACTGCGCTGGGGATAAGAGCGGTGGGCGGGGACAGACGGCAGGAGGGAGGGGCTTGTGGAAAACAACCCACGCAGGGCGGTGATTGACAGCTAAACGCTGCAATGGTGAACATGCTGAACGCTCTTCAGTCCAATGGAGAGCGCGCATGCGGAATATCCAATGAGTGTTAAGTCCTGCTGATAAGAGCTAGAAAAAAGTCGAATGAAGAGCTCTGGAAGAATGTCAGCATGACATTGCACATAAAAACAAACAAACCAACCAAAATAAACTATAACAAACGTATACAATTAAGCATAGTAGCATAGATATTTAGTATAAAGCTACCTCAATGATTTAGAGCAGTGGTCACCAACCTTTTTAGGCCCAAGATCCCTGACCTCGGCCTTTATGAAAGACGAGATCTACCTATTGAAGAATTGATAGAAAAAGACATCCCAGATTGTACTTCAAATTTGAGGCCTTTTACTTAGTATTTTAATTAATTAGTGATGAGCCGATCATAGCGGATTCAGAATTCAGATTTTCTTTTCTTTCTTTCTTTTTTTTTAAACTAGCAAATTGTCTGATTCTGATATTTAAGCAAATTTATTTATTGGCTATTTGCTTTATAACAAACAAACTGGCTTCAAACAAAAATATCTAGCCATTTGAAATTAGAGGCAACCACTGCATTTTAATCACGATCTGCAGGGGCAGTTGTTTTTGATTTGATTTTAGATTAATTTCAGGATTTAAAACAAACAGAATGGTCTGACTTTAGGTGTTATTTATTTATTTGCTACATAAAACATCTGCACGAAACAACAGCAGGTCTGAATGAGATGCACTCTCTGACAGCAGGTGGCGCCTATGAACAGGGTTGCCAGGTTTTCGCAATAAAACTAGTCCAATCGCGTTTCGAGGGGGTTCCCCTGTAAAAATCCATTCTTGGTGTAAAATCATGCGTAAAATCCACGTTTTTCGGCGGGGATCTTCCAGTAAAATTCGCATTCCAGGGGATAAATATCACGTTATTGGGGTCGCTTCAACCCGCGGACATGAACAACAACCCGCGGCAACAGTGTTAAAGTAACGTTAGCCCAATTCCGCAGAAAAACCGCGGACTTGGCAACACTGCTTATGAAACGACCGCAATAGCGTTTCCTTGGTTACCGCTGTAAACAAAGCAGAGCCGCGCTTTATACGGAGAAGAAAATGCCATTGCCATCGAAAATTTTCTCAAGACCGTTCCCTTCAGTGATACATTAATATAACCCCAGAAATTTAATGCATTTTTGTACTTATTTTACTGTTATTTTCAGGATCTACTGGGACAGTGATAAAGATCTACCAGTCGATCGCGATCAACGGGTTGGCGACCACTGATTTAGACATTTAACATTACGTTAACAACTGCAGAACAAACAGCATGCTCTATTCTATTCTGTTGCGTTAGCGCCACCTTGCGTTAATGTCCATACTTGATTGGATTTTTAAGAAGCCTGGCTCAGAGATAAACCATTCAACCCACTGCACAATTACATGCAGTCACTGCACAAGCTGCTTACAAAAAGACATTTTCATTCATCAGCTTTAATTTATAAACACATTGGTCAAATGCTACTACAACTGAACAGCGTTTGATGCGAGGAACAACATTGTTAATTAAAAGTGTGCATTATTTGACAAACATTGATTTGAGTGCATTTAATCAAGTTTAATTTAATCAGTTCAATTTCATTTGATTGAGATTAATAATTCAATGAAGAACTCCTGATACACTGCACAAACCTTACATTAGTGCGAAACCGTGATGCAACATTATTCACTGCACTTCTGTTTTGTGCAATATTCCCCAAAAAAAGAATCAGATAATCTGATGGAGGACAAACCCCTTTTGAGTTCAGATGAAAGACCAATGCTGATAATTGTTAGCAGGGTCACAGTTTTTCATGATGATGTTGCCATACTCCACCATTAAACACTTACTAAAGAGCATTATGGAGAAGATATATCTGCAAACAATTGCAGATATATAAAAGGTAAGATAACACACATTAAAGATCAAATTTAAATCTCTAAAAGATAACACCCACCCAATTTGAGATTATAAGATAATTTTGTGCCATAATACTGCACTCATTGTTTGTGGCATGCAGCCAGAGGCAAAGGGATGTTGGGAGATGTACCACACCTGTTGGGAAACAAGAATCAAACTCCATGTCTGCTGTGGAGCAGGGACGGTTCCTTCACCCTGAAAGTTGCACAGCTCCACTTGCACGGGTTCAGGCTCGATCGTCGCATGCAGACTCAGCTGCTTATCAATATTATGCCTCCGCTCCTGATGTGACGTGTACTCAAAATACTACAAAGCAAAACAAATGTTTAGACAGGTATAGAAAATTGACCAATAAAAATGTTTAATACTAAAAATATTTTAGCACTATTTATATACCATTATAATATTTATTAATATTTAGAATTAGCTTTTTTTTTGTATCTTCCATTTTTATTTTATTTTATATGCAGTGTGCTTTTGTTTACTTTGGCCAAACAAGCGAAACAAATGTTTGGAAAATTATTAAAAATGGCCAATAAAAAAATAACGTGCGGATGACAGCAGTTATCATAAAGTACCTGGTTTATTCCCATGTTGTGGCAAATGAATAAAATCACTGACTTCGCTCCAGGATTCTTCTCACCAATATCAAGACAAGTGTTTGTGGCAATGTTCTTCAACTACCGACTATGAAGGTAGAATGACGTCAAAAAGATTTGCATACGCAGGGTAAGAGTTGTGGAAGTGTACATAAGACTGTAAGCGTAAATTAAAGTTGCATGTGCAAGAGAAGCTTTGTAAAGGTGTAAATCGTGTTTCATTTTATAAGTTGTGTACCATTAGGCTATGTGTATGCATGCAAATTTAATTTACGCTTACAGTCTTATGTACACTACCACAACTCTTACCCTGCGTATGCAAATCGTTTTGACGTCATTCTACCTTCATAACTGACACAATATGTACAAAAAATAAATATTTTGCTGGTAATAGCTATTATTGTAACAAATCTGAAATTATAACACTACATTACCGATCCAAACAGCACAGGGTTCAAATCGGGCACAAAGGCCTTGGTGTAAATGTTTTCTAGGTACCAGGAGAAATTTTTGCAATGCAGCCTCTCTCTGAGCTTCAGGCGCTCACTGATGTCCCCATATGATTTCTGTGCTCCTCAAAGGTAGAAGAGAAATATGTGAGCTTTACAAATAAGATTTTGTAATCATTTAAAATATTAAATGCGTTATCCACTTCTCTCACCTCTGCTGCAATGGCAGCAGCTTTTTTTATTTCTGTTGTAGAAAATCTTCTTGTAATCATCCATCCAGACTTCTGCGAGGCGAACCTGGTTGCGTGCGATCACATCTATGCCTTTTGGAAAGGAATGCGGACTTTTGGTGCGAAAGATGTGGCCGACCACAGAACAGGGAATTATCTCTAGACTGCCTCCACACAGCCATACCTGCAAGAGACTTTTACTTTACTTTACTTTTTACTTTTAGTCATTTAGCAGACGCTTTTATCCAAAGCGACTTACAAATAAGAATACATTCAATATATATATATATTACTTCATTTCCATTTTGTATGTTGAAGTACTGAAATAAGTCAAATTAAATAAAACTAAAACTTAATAAAAAACCTATATAGACATAATAAAAAAACTAAACTAATAAAATGACAACATTACTACAACTGTAACTAAAACTAAAATAGATAACTAATACAAATCAAACTACATTAGTTTATCAGTAATCCTAAAAAAATAACACTGAGCCAAACACACATGCTAAAATAACAACAACTTACTGACACATAGTAAGAAATGGTTATAATAAAAAAAAACTGAAACAAGTAATAGGACAATACATAATGTATGACAGCAGAAGAGTTACAGTATTATAGTAGAATTTTAGTATTATTTATATAACATTATAGTATTTATTAATATTTTGAATTAGCTTTTATTTATACATTGAGTTTTCATTGTAATTTTTGTTTGGGTTTTAATAATTTTGTTATGTGCTTTCATCATTTTTATTTGCTATTGTTGTTGTTATAATATATATATATATATCATATACTTCTATTTAGCTTTAATTTCAATTTCAGTAATTTTCGTACTTCAACTTTTCTATTTCAGTTGTAATTTTTATTATATATTTTCTTATATATTATTTTACATTTTATTATTTGTTATTTTCTTCTATATATTACTTTTATTTTGGCTTTATTTGAATTAAAGAATATTATGTTTAATAGTTGTAGTTAACAATAACAAAACTGTATCAGAATTAGAATGAGTTATAGTAAATCATTTGCAAATGACAAATGTCAAAATCTTCTAATTTTGTTAACAATAGTTCACTCAAGGGATGCAAAAGATACAAACCTGCTAGTGGGTCTTACCCTGAATGACATTTCTATGTTCTCTCCTTCCCAAAACTCCATCTTGTCATCATATGTTCCAATGTATTCAAAGAACTGCTTGTAAATGGCAAAAAGCCCACCAGCAATCTTGGGTGTCCTGAACGAAAAATTGTATTTGAAAACTGGTGTTTCATATGCAGCAGCAATATAATGCAATTTTAATTCATATGTGGACATGAGAAAGGTGTCTCTATGTGTGTTTTTGTAGATTTGCCTGACAGGATAGGTTTCATCTTTGCGTTTCACCCTCTCTTCTTCAGGTATAGTCTCCCAGCCAAAGCTCAGGATCCAGTCAAAGTTCCCACGGCTATGCGTGCGGGCTGACACCACAGGCTTTATGAACTGTAGATTGTTCTTGTCGATGACAGCAATGCTTGGGCTCACAACTGTGGTAGGTTCTTGAACTAACCGGGCCAACAGAGGCTCCAACCAACCATAGAAACACTCACCTGAGAAAACACACACACTTATTTGGCCAGTGGAAAAGAATGAGCTCAACTCTATTCTAAAATATTTAGCCTATCTGAGAACTATTTTAAACAGTTTTGTTTTTATGGATATTTTGATATATTTATTCTAAAACATAACGATACTGGATGATTTTTAGCAATAAAAATTGTGTATGGCACAAATGGCATTTATAGTCCGTAAAAGGTGACGGTGTTAAACATGGTGTCACGTGGATGGAATGTGCATGGAAATGATATGCAGATGAGGTTATGCATAGTAAAACTAGGCGTTGTAAGCTCCATATATGGTGATTTCGGGGAGGAGTCGGGGTGGAGATGCACGTACGCACAATCTTACCCTGACTGGGATTTATAAAGGGATTTTTGCGCAGGTTCTGGCGTACGCATGGTTTTATAAATCTGAAAACTTTTGTGCGTACGTACACTTTTAGGATGAAATCTATGGAGAGTTTTATAAATGAGACCCCAGGTCTTTATGATATTCTGGTCTCTAGATATGGCTTGGTTCCATCCTTCAACATAAGTTCACAGAATTTGTTTGCTCGTTTTATTGTCCACCTTATTCAAAGCGGTAATCAATGCACGTTTGCCTTTACTCACCTTGAGTACTTGCATCATCCACCAGTGTGATTTAAGTAAAACAGCTGGTGAAGTGTGTAAGACACTGCAGATGGTGTGGAGAAGAGTGGACCGTGCCTCATTGTGCAACACAAGGATCACACTGGTAGTGGGTAACTGCAGACATCTTCTGAACTTTTGCTCAATGCATCTTGAAAGAGTAACAGTGAACTAGAAGTGTGCTACGTGATCAAAGGGTAAAATATGAAAAATTATACTCAGTCTGCTTCCTATGGTACTCACTCAGGGGGCCGCGTGTCGACACCAAGACTGCGGTGGAAGGAGATGCGATCACTGGCAAACTGGTTAAAGCCATTTCTAGAAAGACCCTCCTGTTTCTCCCTCAGCTCTGCAGGTGTCAAGATGCCAGTGATGATGGGCTTTCCATCAGCTCCAGGTCCTTCAGGATCCTCCTGAGGTCTCTCAATGCGAGGCCTGAGCTCCTCCATGCTGTAGAATCCAGAGGGACACCTGGCATCTCCAGATAACGCTGTAGCCTCTTCAAAGGGTGGTTTAGAGGTATTCATCTGAAAATCCCAGATGCCGCTGGAATTCCTACCCATACCGCCTCTGTATCTTGGCTTTAAGGAAAGACCTTGAAACCAGTAGCTGGCAGACCTCCACCCTTCTAGATCCAGCAGTAATATCCAAAGTATGGAGATTAAAACTGTCAGTCCCAAGATGCTCAGTTTTATGGGTAGTGCACATTGAGGATTTCGTAAGCGCATCCTACAAGAAAATCCAAACTGGAGCACATTTCAGTTTCAACTTTATCTAACTTCAGCCATTTGTAGCATCTGAAAAAATCTGCAACGTAAATTAAAGTGAAAGTGACATGACATGTGGCCAAGTATGGTGACCCATACTCGGAATTAGTGCTCTGCATTTTTAGCCATCCAAAGTGCACACACACAGCAGTGAACACACACAAACCGTGAACACGGATTCATTTGTCACACAGCAGAACTATTTTAAAGCTACACTGTGTAAAGCAGGTAAACATTCCTCATTTGTAAGTCGCTTTGGATAAAAGCATCTGCTAAATTACTAAATGTAAATGTAACCTGCACGCGTCAAGCGGAAGAACTGTTCCGTGAATACATCCAATAGTATCAGACAGGCATAAAAAAGAAATGTCGAGTAAGGAAGAAGTCTAAATACTACTCTCGATTAAATAACTATTTTAATCTCTAAAAGAACCACATAGCCAACCCTAAAAGACTAAATAGCAAAGTATCAGTATTTGTAAAAAAAACTAAACAAAAACAAAAAAAACACGTAGACAAACATTGACTGATGCGAACTCTGTAATTTGAATAATTATCTTATAAAAAGGACTGAGGTGGCTCAACTCAAGTGCTTACCTGTATCGAAGCCAAGCGTTGTAACCACTTTTCAGTTGTAAACACACACACACACACCCTAAATATTTAGAAAATGGCTCGGTATTAAATTTTCTTCATGCAGTAAGATTACTATGCCAGGTGCACCCCATTGGATAATTTAACTCTCGTATTATTTCCTCCACAAACAAACAAGTGTTAACTATAGGACGGTGAACTAGCAAGTGGACGGAGGGGATATTTAATAAGCAAGCAATATTTATGACTTCGAAATGCTTTAGGGTTTAGGTTATAAAAGTGCTGATAAATAAACGGGAGACGAGGGGACAGTGCAAGTATGTATCCATGACAACACATGAAACAACGTTTGAAGACAGCGCGTGAATCTCGTGTTCGACTCTTTTCGGTGCTCGTTCGGTTCAGCTCGTTCTTTCTGCGGTTGTTTAGCTAGTTCTCGTAATACAGTAGTGATTATGGCATTCTTCGGAATCACATATTTGGGCTATCAGAACCCTTTTGGGGACAGGATGTTAACATCTACTCAGAACCAACTTACACGAGGTAAGGATGCTTTGGTGCGACTCTGATACAGGCGCTTATGAAAAGTCTTCAGCACATCTGTTTACCTGCAGTAGTGATGTCCGATATGTTTGTTGCTTTCCTTTCAGACTCATCAGACCTGCATCTCGGCAGCCAGAGCAGATATCAGGACTTGAGCAGACGCGTTCAGAGGTGTAAGTTCACACTGAATCCATCAAACACCCACATACTGAATCTATTACTCTTGAGAGTTCATGTAATTGCTCGGACAAAATGGAGGAATTCTCTGTTAATAAGTGATATCAGTGTGAGATCTTGTGCTTGCCTTTCAGCTCCTAAAGAACTGTATCGTGTACCTGTGACAGACAACCAGCAGTACGGCTGGTGGGTTTCCAGTGGTGGCCTGAAGAAGCAGGAGCCTTGGACTCAAACCCGTCGCTTCCCACGCAAAAACAGCGAAATGACAAAGTATGAAGCTATGTAGGCTAATGTGTGTCTGTCAACAGACAATTAATGTGTAATGCTTTAATGCAAATTTCACTTATTTTCTCAGGTTTGTGAATGAGATGTCAATGACCTGCCCAGACTTCAGCTTGTTTTGATTCCTGGTCTATAAGTCTGTTAGACAGTATGTTCACATGATGATCACAGACCCATAATACTTCAACACTGCAGTGTGTCACTTCGCTTTGCAGATCAGGTGGTGCAGAGGACACACAACTCACAGTAATGCAAGTCTAGCGTATCCACTACACATCTATGGCTGTGCCATATTGTTTATAGAATTTAGTGCAATAAATTAAGTTCCATACTCTGTGTGCTAAATGTTGTTCTTTGCATACAGGTGCATCTCAATAAATTAGAATGTCGTGGAAAAGTTCATTTATTTCAGTAATTCAACTCAAATTGTGAAACTCGTGTATTAATTCTAATTTATTGAGATGCACCTGTATACATGCATTATGGTGGCTAAGTCCAGTATTAATAAAACAATGAACCATTTGTGACTAAACTGGACCTGAAGCAGTTTCCATTCTGAAACATCTTCCTGAGGTTAAGTTTTTAGTAGACCTCTTAATAAATGTTTTGAATCTTCTTTCGTTAGTATCAAAAACTGACCACAACAGGATGATATAATGATCTAGGATCATGTTAAGTTGCGTTAACAATGGTATTTAAATTACATGCATAAAATCTTTAATGAGCAAGGCATCTTCATTTACACGCAACTCTCATGTAGAGTTTTGAAATGCAGAAATTAATCAGTTCACATTGTTAATTTAAGTGATATTAGTTTGATTATGGAAGTGATTATCATTAATTGCAAATGAATTAAAATCTGATCCCATTTTTTTGCCCAATAATGGTGATAAAACAGGTGACATGTTCTTATCAATAATTTGAAGCAAATAAAACCCTTCAAATTCCTATGCAAACACAATGTCTTATACCAAAACAAAATTTAAAAAGGGATTCAAACAAAACCACAATAAAAAGCAATCACAAAAACCAAATAAAACAGACTTTTTTTAATTTTTAGAGGGGAAAAGTTTGTCAATATTCATAAAGTCTTTTCTCAACTTGCCTTTGCAAAGTTGAAGAGCTCGTCCCTTTTCTAATCCTTCGAATAAAGTAAAAACAAGAATGAAACAAATGAACGAAAGGTAAACGAAAATAAGGAGATGATCAGGAGTCGTTCAGCCCTGATCTAGACAGAGGCCCCAGTGTGAGAGTCAGTAGTTCTACAATACACTCCTGCTTGTCCGCAGTACATCAGATACTGTGTTTGCTTCCCTCACGCTGAATCTCCACTCGTGTACGCTTTTATTGCACACACTGGACGGAACAACAGGGCCCCCTGCCTTTGGTACGAACGTGATCAACTGACATGCAATGAGCAAGCTACGATCACAGCAAGTTTTCAATAAGTGAAGAACACAGCAGGAAAAAGACAGTGCTTTGGCCATCATGCAAGCCATTACGCTGAAAGAGGTGACTGAGTTAACGAACGTGGCCACAATTGCGTCGCGTCCACCGGGTGAACTGCACAGTTTGCGTCGTAGACCGTCTGATACGAAGAGGCACTGTTATCATATGCTGAAATATGTTCAATTAAGGCAAATGCACTGCACACATGCAGTGTATGGGAAGTCTTCTATGTTGGCAATTAGCTGGCTAGCAACTGTTTACCTAGTGAATTTGAAGTTTACGGTTTAAATATGTATTTTCCCATGTGGCTTTTTCCTTAAAGAGATGTTCACTACAATGAAGCAGAACAAGCGGTGGAGGGAATATTGTTTATCCGATCATACGTCACTGACTGCAGTTGATCAGTTAGTACCAATTCGCTTGAACGTCTCGATTCAGGTCTTTGTTCCCTCTCCTCAGCTGGAATGGAATCATAAGCGAATAGATAAGAATAAAAAAATGGATACAGAGGTGATACAAAATACCCAAACATTAGAACTTCAGGGAATCAAACAAACAAAAATCGTAGAGAAGATACCACAATCAGACATGCTGTTGAGCTGTTTAGTTTGGCAAGAAAGCAGCTAGTTGTATCATAGAAACCTCACAGTGAAAAGAGTTATGACCCTTCGAGATTACAAAGCACAGTATTCAGTCATAATTTATAGATATATTTCTTTCGTTTTTAAAAAAGTCCTTCTAGAATGAATTGGATCTCGAGAAACTGTCTCGTACCGTGGTATCCAATGCTGTGGCTTTTCCCCAGATGCCTCCGAAAAGCTTTTTTTCCTTTTATTTCATTTTGTACCAAAAATACTTCTTTGAAAAAAGAAGAAATGGTTGACGGAACACACAAAATAAAACCGAAGTCTTCCTAGAGAACGCGTTGAAGGCCCAGACCTGGTCGTACTTCCAAAAAAAAAAAAAAAAATCCCTATTGTTCCACAGCTTTTCCAAACAGTTTTCCATCTAGAATTTGTCGTTCTGAAGGAAAAGCACGACTTTAAATTAAATAATTCAGTCCTTCATATGATCTGGTGCGCAATGCTCTGCCAGTCACCCGCATTGCTCATCAATCAATCAGTGTAATTTACTGTAAATGATAAGACGTCATGAAAACAGGAAAAAAATCGAGGGGTGAGGACGTCAGAGCATTAGATAATATTCAAACTTCCGCAAACATTTTGACAACTTCTTTTCTATTAAATACTTTGGTCTTTGGTCAATAGTTCTCTTCTTAATTTATACAGATACTGTATTTGTACACACACACACACAGATATACGAGCGCACGTGTTTATGTACGGTATAAATGTGTATGCGTTTTTCACACTTGTTCCATAAAGGACTTTTTTCACAAAACATCAAGATCAAAATAAATAAGGAATTCCGAACAAAACACGAGTACCTGTATTTATATTCTCCTGAAATAAGAATAACAGAGGAAAAAAATGTCACACAAAAATAAAACTGGAGAAAAAATGCCTTATGTACAGCGTTTTTCTTCGGCAAATAAAGGCCTTTATTAAATAAACAGACTTTGCATCTTTCAAGCAGCCTGAGGGAGAGGCTTAAAAACAATCGTCCTTCAAGGTGCACAGCCATATCCACGAGCGCCATGACTCTCCAGTCTGGAGTCTGCTTTGTTTTTTTCAGTAATCTTCCTTTTTTCTTTGTTTTTTCTTCAAGTGATGGCGATGGCTACTTGTTTGTCTTCTGCTTGCCTCTAGAAATCCTCCTCTCTGGGGAATTGTGGGAATCCAAAGGAACACTAGTGCGCTGCTAACTGTTGGGAGGTCCGTCGTTCAGGAAGTAAGTGGTCATCTCACCCTTGCCTTTCACCTTAACGACCCCTCGACACTCCAGCTTGTAACCTTTACTGGCCAACACCTGGTGCAGGTCTGTGGTCACCTGCAAGACATCCAGTAAAACATCAGAAAATCACATCTAAATCACTTGCTCCTGATGACTATAGCATGTAGGCTTGAAGGATTACCTGAATATGGTCTGGGACCCCTGTACTGTCCATCCGACTGGCCACGTTTACTGTGTTTCCCCAGATATCATACTGGGGCTTTCTGGCGCCAATGACTCCTGCGACCACTGGCCCAATGTTCAGTCCTGCACACACACACACACACATGCATATGCCAATTTAGTAATGTACCCTTAGTATTCATGTTGATTTCTAATGGTTTTAAAAAAACGTTCATTTTCAATTCATGTCATGTGATGTCATGTAGTAGTATACTACTATAATATACTAGTGGTATATTATTTATATACTCCTATAGTATTAATTTTTTCATTTTAAATTTCAATATTAGTCATTTTGATTTTATATATTTTAGTATTAAATGTAATTTATTTTAATTTCAGTTTTACTAATTTTTAGTGCTGTCAAACGATGAAAATAAAAGTTTTTGTTTACGTAATATACGTATGTGTGTGTACTACTGTGTATATTTATTATCTATATATAAATACACAAACATACATGTGTATATATATATATATATATTCATATATAATTTATATATAAATATTTTATATATAAACCAAAACATTTTCTTAAATATATACATGCATGTGTGTATTTATAGATAATAAATATACTCAGTACACACACAAATATATTCTGTAAACAAAAACTTTTATTTTGGATGCGATTAATCTCGATTAATCGTTTGACAGCACTACTAATTTTAGTACTTAAACTTATTTTATTTTAGTTAATTGCCAAGGCAACATTTTTAATATCTAATGTTTTTTATCTAATATTATAAATCTATTTATTATTATTATTAAATGTAACATTTTTTATCGTTTTAATTAACAACTATTTAACTATCAAGTTAAAATTACATATTTTCTATACACCTTTAATAAGATGCATACACATCTGAATATTTTCAGAAGGTTTTTTAAAATAAACTTTCAAGGTAAATAGTATTTTTTACATAGATCGTGAATAATTAATTTTAAAATACTGTTGTATTTGTGGGTAGTCGTACCACATGACACCTTGTCATAAAAATTGAGTTACATTTTTCAGTTTTATCATGGTGAAAAACAACAACCAAATTTTCAATAAGTATATTTACATGCACTAATTTTCATCAATCTGAATGAATCCAATCCAATTTTAGATTCTGAAAGTTCTGTTTATATGAACCCTGAACTGATATTGGCTGCTCATAAAAAGGTCAAATTATGTGATATTTTAAGAGGCTTACTGACACACAATCATGCACCACATGAGCTTGATTTGGTGGAAGACACTTTTTCAAACATTTGGAAAAGAAAAAAAAATCAGTGAAGAATGGACTCTGTGACCCTGCAGGTTTTGAAACTCACCGATCTTCATCTGGAAGTTGTTGAAGGAATGCTCATTGATATATTTCATCTGTTCGCGGAGGTGCATGGCGTAGTCGGCCAGGGCGGTTATATGCGAGCGGCCTTCCTTGTCATAGGTGGAGTCGTTAAGACCAGATGCGGCCATGTAGGTGCTGCCAATGGTCTTTATTTTCTCCAGCTGCCTGTATTTCTCCTCACTGATGATCTGCAAGAGAGGAGAGATATAGAGGGGAGGTTTTCATAAATATACACTACAGTTCAAAAGTTTCATATTGGTCATACAGAATGGTTTAATAATTCAAGATTCTCTCATTCTTTTCAAACACAAATCTCTAACCTCATCAAAATCAGCGATGATCTCATTGAGGAGCCTCAGACACTCCACTCCCTCGTTGTTGGCCTCCAGCTCCACGTAGAACTCGGAAAAGTTGCTGATGGAGGCGAACATGACGGCCACACACTCACACGACTGGTAGTACAGCTCGTCATTCCTCCTCTCTCTGGCTAGAAAGTGGGCGGCCACATCTTTGGGCAGGATGTTGTGGAGAAGCCGGCGGTTGTAGGCTTGAAGTTCCTCCATCTCCTCCTTTTCTTCTGTGGCCTGTAGAGGAACAGACAAATTACATATTTTGTACATATTCTCAATGAATTTTATGAACAAATTACTTCTTGACATTACTGACATGCTGTTGTATATCTTAGTGTACCACGCTAACAACAACAAAGATCTGTAGCTGTAGTTTAGTGATTAAACTTTTGGTGTTGGCCAAAATACTGTAGGCTCAAATCCTGACCTGAAGTTTCCAAAGGAAGTCTAGACGAGCCGTTGACTCCACTTGTTGGGCATGTAGGTACAGTGCTAGTACAAATACAGTGAGGATCACTGGGGTCATGACCTTTAGGGACACTTTAGTCACCCTGAAAGTACTGAAATGAGAGAGATCAGGTCAGCCACAGGATAAATTATTTACATCACAGCATGGAGGTAACAGAACACAGCACACAGCCACAGCAAAGATTTAGTGTTTCCAAGAAAACATTAAAAATCATTAAAAAAAACGATGAAGACATGGAAAAAAGAGACTGTATTAATTGCACATACCACTGCTCAGTAGTCGTATTGAGACTGGACCTGCGGAAAAACCAAGAACATTAAACACTTTTGCATTTATAGAAACAATAAATTGTAAATTATGAATAATGGGAAGCATAAGAGATGAATTTAGGTCTCACCATTGCAGAGTTTCATTGAAAACACTAAAAAAGAGCAGCAAAAAACACTCATTTTAACATGCAGTGAAAAGGTTCACATCCCAACAACTCTTAAAACTTAGAGCATTTATTTATGTTTTTATTTATTTTGATATTTTCTATATTTCATATTATTTTTATTTTATTTATTTTGATATATTATAATTATTGCAAACCAGTTTTGTTAACTGAAAACTGAAACTATTAAAAATAATTTTCGTTAATTGAAATAAAGCTTAAATATAGATTAAATATACTAGATAAAAAACTTACTACTAAAGTACTAAAATTCCTGAAACTAAAACTAAAGAAAAAATACACTAAAAAATAGAGCATTATAAAAAACAATAAAATAGACAAAAGCACATAACAAAATTACTAAAACTTTCTCCAAATGAAAACTGAAAATATTAAAATAAAAGCTTTTTATAATTTATAATATAGTAGTATGTAAATTATACTAAAATAACATTGTTGCAAACCACAGTATTTAATACTTTAATGCTAAATGAATGTAATGTCATTATATTATTGAATATAATCACAAACAACAGACAACAGATCAGCTCCAGTTATGGTTCAAATGATCTTCTGAACATACAGCCACTTCAAAGCTACTTCTCTCTGTGGTGTTTGAGCTGTACTGACGCCCTCTAGAGGCTGGCAGCGGTACTCACAGGGCATTGGCAGTAACGAAGAGGTCTGCGTTGTCAAACAGCACCACCTCTGGCCACTCCACAAGCAGCAGGAAAGTGAGCTGGATGAGCAGCATTAAAGCCAGCTTCCCTATACTACTGATCTGCAGGAACACTGAGCAGGCCAACAGGGTCAGCAGTACACTGTAGCTGAAATACTGAAAGAGGCATAAGGGATAAAACATGAATCCGGTTTCATTTGCGACAAAGTTTTGATCTTAGTGTGACTATGCACACGTTTTACCTCAGGGAAGGGGCAGGAGGGAGTGTTGCTGGGACAGATATTCAGGCCGTCGGCTGCAGAGCGAGACAAGTTGTGAATCACACAGGGAGTAACCATCTCTGACGACCAGTTAAACTGCTCTGCTACGCAGTCCACAAGTTTACGTGTATCACAGGAAAACTACAGGAAACACAAAACATACACTCAGGCTCCGAAATACATAATCAGTTTAGGCATAGATACAAGCATTTATAGGAATATTTCACCACAAAAATGAGAATTCACTGAAATTTTATTCACCCTCAGGCCATCCAAGATGTAGATGAGTTTGTTTCTTCATCACAGCAGATTTAGAGAAATATAGCATTACAACACTTGTTCACCAGTGGATCCTCTGCAGTGAATGGGTGCCGTCAGAATGAGAGTCCAAACATCTGATAAAAACATCACAATAATCCCCTTCATTTGTAAAAACAGTATGAAAATAACTTTTTCAAAATTTTAAAAATGCAGAACATTTTCTTTTAGGATTCAGGTGCGGTCACATTAGCAATTAGCATTAGCATGGTAAAAACAGATCTAGTTCTACTGTCAATAGCAAAATAGACTTCCCACACAGAAGTCGCTTCATAACCAAGCAGCTTTCTGTAGGTCAGCAAGGCAAATTTGCGAATCTTTTTTGCCCTCACACGAAACTCCCAAATGTGGCGATTCCTATTGCAATGACTGGATTTCGCTCACAAAATTCCGTCGAGCAACGGTAAACATGACCGTTGAACATGAACAACTTGAGTGTGAGTAAATGATGACAGATTTTCATTTTTGGGATGAACTGTCCCTTTAAGTAAGCATGTGTGAGTGTGTGTGTGTGTGAGTGTGTGTGTGTGTGTGTGTGGTGAAGTATAAATATGCTGCGCGTTTGTAAGAAAATTCATCATTATGCATTTTAACTATAACTATTGCTTTCGGCTGAAGTCCTTTATAATTATTACTGCTTTCTTCAGTGAAAAAAGTTGTCTCGGCTGAAACAGGAGAGAAATATGCACAGATCAAGCACAGATTACAAGTGAAAACAGTTCTAAACAAATATATTGGTGGGTTTTCATGTGAGAGGACAACAGGGGATGGATATTTTCACTGGAGGAAGCGTTATTATTGATTATGGACTCATAATCCATGTGAAGTGACAGTTTAAAGTAAAAACATTTTAATGATGGATCTGTTTCTTACAAACACACAGGTTTTCACTTCACAAAACATTAACTGATGGACTGGAGTGGTGTGGATTACTTGTGGATTATTGTGATGTTTTTATCAGCTGTTTGGACTCTCATTCTGACGGCACCCATTCACTGCAGAGGATCC